CCTCTCATCCTTGCTCTGCTGTTTAACAAGAAACAGAAAAAGACACACACAGAGAGAGGTCACCAATCAAGAAACGAAATTAATTTTGAAGAAGCTCATTATATATCCACTTTGGTAGGCCAATGGAACATGAAATCATACTCATCCATCTCTGGTTCAACCAAAGGCCAGTGTAATCATTTGAGCTTTTGTTGATGAAGATAGAAAATTGCAGTCAGAAGAATAGAAGACTGAATTGGGCAACAGAGTACTGTCTTCATTTCAGATGTCTGAGTTTGGGTTAATGGTTAACAGGAGAAGCATACAGAGGACTTTTTGTGATGCCAAGAGCTGGAATGAATCTGTTTGTCCAAGATGTTTGAGTACCTGTGATTTGGGTAAGGGCTATGCATACAGTAGAGAAGCCTATCACAGACAAAAGAGCTGTTAAAAGGAATAACAGAAAATAGAAACACTCCTTGTAGACTGTATGGTTACCTGTGTGGCCTGCATGAGTTCTTTCCAATGTCTGTCTCGGATAGCTGGATTCTGGAGCTCACTCACAGCTCGGAGGGATGTGATCATGTTTTTAACTGTGTTGTCTAGTCCCACAAAAGCATCCCATGGTCTCATTTCCTTGTCTAATCCTCTTACATCTTTAGCAAACTTCTTGCAGTCAAGATCCATCTGCTCAACATTAATTTCTTTCCACTTGGTTGTCTTCCAGTCATTAATGCTTTCATTTACCTGAATTAGAATACATACAAGTACAGTATATGGTTTTGTGATTCACTCTAGTTTTGTGATTATCAGTTTAAAATCAATTTGAAGCCTTTTTGAAATATCAATCTGCACTTTATTAATTAATGTTTTGTGGATTTTTAGTACTATTTGTTTTAGAGAGGTGTGTGTGTGTGTGTGTGTGTGTGTGTGTGTCTAGAATGAATGGCTGACACTTACCAAGAATGGTCATTCTCATGAGACTGAAGGAACAATCCAAACACATAGGTTTATCCCTCATGCCAACCAAGTCAGGCAGGATTCTCAAAATTTCAAAAATGTTTTAATATTTGCCTCTAAGCTCTCTCACTTCAGCTTTATTTTCTAGCCTTGATAACCAATTCAACAACATTAATCCCTTATATGTACAGTTGTTGCTCCATTTTCGCAGACTTAAGAGTCCATGTTCCTCACCTGTTCACAAGCAGCAAATGGAGGGGGACAAAATGGGGCATGCACCGCCATTCAAGCCAATGAGGCTTAAATATTGGCGATTTTCCATTGTCGTGGGGGTGTGTGTTCTGGAACGGATCCTCCCACAAAAACATAGGGAATTGTATTTTTAAAAATCTTCCTGGGTGGGGGTAATAATTCTTGGTAAGTGTCAGCCACTCAATTCTCTGTGAGGCTGAAGACACATTAATGGATATGGGATATACCCAAGCCACCATTTTCAAGAAAGGTCTATCCATTATGATCACTCACAACAGCATGGAAGACTGTTCTACCAAAATTTGCTTGACTATATCTGAATTTGTCCACTTTGTACTGCCTCATGAATGCTGATGACTCTTTTTACCCTGCAGTCTTATAAACATCCTCAGTTGAAGCTGATACGCTATAGCCTGCTGTTGTTGCCACTGATCTAGTGAAATGTGCCAAACATGCTTAGGTCTAGGAACTTTCACCAAGTCATAACATTGATAGATACAACCTTTCAATTATCTGGACATTTCTTCAAGGTCATCACTAGGGGGGTGCAGGGGGTACAGATTGCGCCAGTTGGCACCACTGCTCCCCCAAAATTTGTCTTTTGGCAGAAATGGGCTGTGGCATTGGCCTATGTCCCTCTAAAACCCAGAAGATATATTATTTATTTATTTATTTAAGGAATTTATAGCCCACCTTTCTCCCAAAATGGGATTCAGACGGTGTGAGTTGAGGTAAGGCTCAGTGGGAGGAGAAAGGAGATGTCCCAGGGTTTTTTTTTTTAAATTAAATATATTTTTTCTAAAACAAAATCAATTTTTAAAATTATTTTAAAATTATTTTTAAATTTTCTTCAAAAACACCACATCTTACCAAAATTTTACTTTAACCAAGTGAAATTATGTACATGTAAATACATTTAGGCTGTGTGTATAATACTGTAATTTAAAGGTATAATTTTAATTTTGCTAGTTGTTTATGTCACAACTTTTACCATTACATTCAGTGATATGCAGGAATTACGAATTATGGGTAACATTAGCACAAAAAACATTACTAAGGATTCTCTATGGTGTGGTAAGGGAGGAGGTCAATGGAGCGGTAACACCCTGAGTTACTACACTGTGAGACACCAGCCCTTGTGATGCCACTGCATTTGTTTAATCATCTAATGGCCCAAAGACCGTGGACTGAAAGATATAAACTAAGTTCCTTTCTTTTAAATGACTTTGTTTTTTCAAATAAATTCTTATTGCTCTTTTCACATCCAATCAATGCCATTATTTCAAGCAGATGCCTTGGATTTAGACAAAATGTGGGCAAGTCTATCACCTGACTACCTGCTCTCATTAATGAAATCTTTGGCATAAAAGTTGGATCCATAATCAAAGTCAACATATCCTCATCAAACTGGAATAGATTTGAACTGATGGACAGAGAATCCAAGTCTAAAGAAATGAAAAAGTCATACAGTTCCAAATGGTTTGTAAAGTGGTTTGTAAAGTCTCCATTTTGAATCTTTTGGGCAAACATATTGAAATACTTTAAATCTAAGACAAGTCTGTAACTTTCATTGTGTTTGGGAACCATAAAGAATAGGGAATATACTCCTTGAAATTTCTCATTTTGTGGTGCTGGTACCTTTTCTATGGCTGCTATTTTTTAACAAATGATTTATCTCATTCTGTACAATCTCTCTTTTCACTAATTCTCTTAATGCTAAAGATGAGAGAAATCTCCCTTTCAGCTGATTCTGAAATTGAATTCTGTAATCTGTTGTCACCAACTTCCAACACCCATTTGTTTGATGTAATGAGCTAACAAAGGTGTCCAAGGTGAAAAAGTCTTCCCCTTACCGGTATTATTCTCAAGTCAATATTGTGCCTTTCCAACCTTATTGGGTTGAGTTGCGCCTGTTCTCAACTGTTGTTGATCCTACTGTTTAAACTGATTTTTTATCTATTCCATTGTGGTCTAAAAGACCTAAAGTCTCTTTGTCTTTGATAATTTCTTCCTCCATGAAAGGAGTTAGATTCATTTCTATTAAAAATTCTGTCAAATTTTTCCTTTTGAGTTGTAAGCAAGACCTCTTTTTGTCTGCCTTCCACCAGCACTTTACTTAGAGCCTCTTCACCAAACAACAATTTACCTGTGAAAGGCATATTTACCAAATTGGTCCTTGCGTTGTGATCAATTTTCCAATGTTTAAGCCACAAGGATCTCCTTCCAGCTGCTGTTGCTGTGATTGCCCTGGCTGAATATGCTGCTGCATTATAAGTGATATTTTCTACTTACTGAAGAAGCCTATCCAATCTACTTAGCACCCTTTGCAATGAGTGGGCTCATAAATCCTCTGTATCTAGAACATCCTGTATACATAACATCCATGCTTTTGCAAACATTGATGCTGCCATTGATGCCCTGACTGATGCTTCATGAGGTCTCCTCAATGTTAAATCAATTCTTCTCTCATCTATATCATGTCTCCTTCTCATGAAAGAGCAAATTTGACACAAGAGCTTACAGGTTCATCGACCAAAGGAACTGATAACTGCTCCATCAACTCCTTTTCAAACTGATACAGCTTTCCCCCCATAGTTATTGTCTTCAGCCTCATAGAGAATGCTATTTTTATATTTGTATTATTGTTATTGTGTACTTTGTTTGGTTCACTATCATAACAGAACTTTTACATCTTGAAAGGTGGGTTAGAAATCTATTAAACTAAAAACTGGAAGGAAGATGAACAGGAGAGATGCATATCATAATGGCTGCATCACATCCCTAATAGAACCATGACAGGAGAAAGCCATACTTTTATAGTTTCCTCCTGTTATTCATCAGAGAATGAGGGGTTTGTATTTACCATAAATGTTCTTTCTGGGATGGACTAGAGAAGCAATCCACGTATTACTCGGTCCCTGCATGCCAACAGATGAAGCAGGAGTCCAACATCTTGCTTCGTTTCTTGCATCAAGCAAGACATTGGACTCTAGCTTCATCTGCTGGCACAAGGGAATAAACTCAAAAATATGTGGATTGCTCCTTTGAGTCATCCAGAGAATGACAAATGGTGTTGCTGTTATGGAGAAGGGAGTAGCCCTGCTATATGGATCTGACAGGGTGTTTAAAGATTACATGGACACACTTCACTGAATAATTCACCAGAGGAAAACTTAACATCTGTAGAAATAAATAGAGGGAAAACATCTGTAGTTACAGAACAGCTGTGTTTTGGTGGATTCTACCTACAACTTTCCATGTCATTTGTGACCTTTCTGGGGACTACCATCATGATCTTCCAGTGTTGCTTATTCTTTATTTCCCTGGGTGGCAAAAAGTTCCTACACAGAAGTTGGAATTATGTGTGAATCAGCAATGATGCCATGTTGTGACAACTGCAATTTACAATTACAGCAGAAAAGCAGATGAGAAGGGAAAGAGATACTTTCTGAAAGGTGGGAGATCTACTGTCCAGCACTGGCTTCCTAGAGATCACCCTAGGATCCTCAGGTGTTTCATGTACTTCTTTCTCTCTGCTTGTCCCAATTTCTCACAGATATGACTGTCCAACACTCAGGGCAGACCCCATTCCCCTGCAGGTGGACTGCCCATTCAGGAGACCATTCGACAGCCACTAAAGAAGTGATAGGAACCTGTGGCCCTTCAGCTGGATTCCAGGCTCCATCTGCCTCAGCTAACAGATCGAGTAATCAGTGATAATGGAAGTTATAGCCCAGAAGATATCTGAAGGGCCACAGACTGCCTACTTATATACTAAATGAACTTTCATAGTCTTTTGTCAAAGTAGAGCCAGTGCGGTGTAGTGGTTTAAATGCTGGACTATGGCTCTGGAAGCCAGGGTTCAATTCCCCACTTGGCCATAAAACCCACTGGCTGACCTTCAGCAAGTCACATCTCAGCCTCAAGAGAAGGCAATGACAAACCCAGGAGCTATTGGCCAACATGGGACTATTGGCCAACATATCTGAGGCTTCTGGGAGCTGAAGTCCCTCAGCCCTTAAAGGGGAAAGGTTGCCTACCCCTGCCCTAGGGTCACCTTAAGTTGAAAACAACTTGAAGGCATAGAACAATAGCAAGAAAAACAATGAATCCTCACCAGGCAAAATCATAGTTTGGTAGAGCTGGTTGGAAAGTACATCCACAAGAAAATATTCATACTTTGATTTATAGGAGCAACAACTTTTGCAGCCTTAATTCTTTTTATCTGCATTGCACAACTTGATGCCAAAAATAGGGATGCTGAGCTCAACTTTCTCACTTCCTTGTGAAGGACTTCAAAATTTCAAAAGGCCTTTCAGTGATAGATAATCCTGGCCTCAGGAATCCCTCTCCTAAGAGGGCTTCTAGGTTTTTAGTCTTAAGAACCGCAACCACACTGTGATCATTTTTAAATTATTGTTGTATTTTATTGTACGTTTTAATTTATAATTGATTTAATAATTTTTAAGGGGGGGAATTAGATTTTACAGTTGTATGTATATTTTATTCTTGTTAGCCACCCCGATTGATCTCAAAGGGGCAGGATATAAATAAACATTATTATTATTATTATTATTATTATTATTATTATTATTATTATTATTATTATTATTTTATTAAAATAATAGTACAGGAGTTCTATAGCACCACTCAGTTTTCCCGCCAAATGACAGGTTCAACTTCTTACCAAGACAATCATATCCCAGAGCTCCTTGAGCAAGCGGACCTCCTTATGGCATGCTTTCAGCTGCTTGTAATCTGGAAAAGATACTTCAAACAAACTTGCTGACTTCGATAGGGCTTCCATCTCTTTTTCCATAGCAGTAATCATTTTTTGTTGCTAGAAGCACAAAATGTGAAGACATTAGCTAATGTTTTAGCCAGATGAATGCAAATATTTTGCTGGTGGGAATAGTGGGTATTGGCTGCCTCACCTATGGATCTTCTCAGCATATAAAATATATTAGTGTAATGTAGCTTGTTCTGACACTAACGTACAGAGGGCAAATATAGGCAGAAGAGCAGCAAAGAAGAAGCATTGTAATGTGCTTCTGTGTAAGTTATCCTGCAAGATAGATTAGCTTCTACACCACTGAAGGCTACACTGACGCATGCTGCCAAATAAACATTTCAATCTGTTAAGCAAATTACCTTATTGAGGGACTTATAGGGGTCTGGATCAACAAAAGTGAAGGGTGCATCCACTCTGAATTTTTCCCTGAATTCGTGTTGTTTAATCTAAGAGGAAAAATAAGAAAAGAGAGTAGTTTGGTTAAGCAGGATCATGCAACATCTGGAAGCCATAGCTTGATATCTGGCACCTAGATGAGAACAGCCTGGATGATGTTATAAGACACATATACAAATAGTAGTTCTGGCAAGAGTGCCTGTGGCCCACTATTCTCTGAAACATTCCCAATGTGACACAGCCTGTAGGGAATAATGAGGCACCAATATAAGGCACCAGTAATGTCTTTTGTTGGCTTAGCCATCACTTTTTCTTCACTACACTCTTCATCCCTTGGCATGTCATGATATCACAGCATGTTAGGATTTTCAGAAAAATCATAGAATCAGAGTTGGAAGAGGCCGGAAGGACCATGCAATCCATCCCTTCCTTCCATGCAGGGAGGCACAATCAAAGCACTCCCAACAGATGGCCATCCAGCCTCTGTTTAAAACCTCCAAAAAGACATGAATCATAGAATCATAGTTGGAAGAGTCATGCCATCAGGTCTGACTACCTGCCATGCACACAATCAAAACACAACCTCCGAATGATCTACAAACCAACAAGAAAATCCAGCAAATGTGCAGGCTCAGAGAAGGACAGGAGAAACCCTCTCATGGCCGCAGGGGTCTACCACATACCACGCAGCTGCAGACAATCTACATAGGGACCACAAAATGCAGCGTCCAAACATGAATCAAAGAACATGAGAGACACAGACTGGGCCACACAGAAAAATCAGCAGTAGCAGAATATGTTACAAACCAACCTGGGCATAAAATACTATTTGAAAACACTGAAATTCTGGGCCATGCCAACAACTATCAGGTCAGAATGCACAGGGAGGCCATTGAAATCCACGAACACCTGGACATCTCCAACAGGAAAGAAGAAATCCTGACGGTGGCTACCAGTCCTCAAAAACACCAAAATCAAGACTCAACACATGCAAATGAACATCACCCCAGCGTCAGGGGTTTCCCCTGCAGATAATGGATTGCTAATTAAATAGACACACATATCCTCCCGCATATCCTGAGGCCTTGCCATTCAACAACAGACCAACACACATTAACATGTAAATCACTTCTTCCCTACCACGGGTCACACAGTATATATACCCCACTCACTTGTATGCCACCAACCTTTGAAGATGCCAACCACAGATGCAGGCGAAATGGCAGGGATAAATTCTTCCAGAACACAGCCGCATAGCCCAAAAACCCCACAAAAACTATGGATGCCAGTCGTGAACTTCAAATCAAAGCACTCCCAACAGATTTTATTATCAGTGAATGCACACTACACAATTAAAGCAGTTTGATAGCACTTTAACTGTCATTGCTGCATCATATGAAATCTTGGGATTTGTAGTTGGCGAAGCTACTTAGACTTTTCAGATAGAAAGTTCTCCTCCCCTCAGCATTACAATCGGACAGACGAAATAGTTTAACACAAAAGGTACCTCAAATTGCTGGCATTTCCTTCTCAAAATTGTAACTTCATTGGCTTGAAGAGGCGCAACATTCTGCTTGACTTGGAATGACAACTTTTTAGTGTTATTCCATTGCTCTGGCAAATCCTAAAAGCAAGTATAAGGACAGCTCTTAATTTTTGCTCAGACGAATAGAAAAGAGATGCTATTCACTAAAACCAAGAAAGGCAGACACAGAACAATATGGAAAGGGGGGGTAGGATGGGGAAGAAGGCTAAAGAGTCAAGTTGCAAAATAGTGGCATAACACTCTGTCCACGTTTGCACATTTCTGAACTTTGCTTACAATGTCAGTAGAGAAAGCATGTATGCATCATGTAGGTCCTAAACTTCATCAGTGAACGCAGACACCTGAGAGAGTTGTGCAACCATCTAAACATTGTGTGGACCCAGGGTGGCCAGATGTTATAACTTCAAAGAAGGACAATGCACCACAAAATGTAGGACATTTTAAGAAAAATGTAGAACATTATCAAATAAGAGCTAAAAATGCTAATATAAATATAAATTCATTTCATATGGTTAATTTACAACTATATTACACATACTGTACTTTATTATGTACACAACCATATTTTTCTGATGAACTTATCTTCATTAAAATGCCTTGTTGGCTTGCAATTTACTTATAGAACTCTGAGCAAATGCTTAAAATTGTACTTTAGTAGCAACAAACCTTTGATTGAATCTACATTTCCACACCTTCAGAAAACACACACACTTTTCCTCCATTTTCCTTTGCCTCTCTGATGCAGGTAAAAGTTTTTCTGTAGTCATTAGGAAGTATTGTTGCAGGCTAAACATTTTGGTCATGTTCAAAGATACAACCATGTTAGTCTGTAGAATCATTATGTAGAGAGATCTTGTAGCACCTTTGAGATTAACTAAAAGAAAGAAATTGGCAGCATCAGCTTTCACAGACTTCAGTTTACGAAAGCTCATGCTGCCAATTTCTTTCTTTCAGTTAGTCTCAAAGGTGCTACAAGATCTCTCTACATTTTGGACATGCTTATTGCTTGAGGAGAACAAGCCCTTAGAAGCAATCTGTTGAGTTGCCTCTTGCTTGTCTGACAGATTTTACGTCCTCAAAACAGACGACGTTTTGGCATTCTTCCTTCACACACCCCACAGGAACTTGAAATGCAGGACATGTCTGAGGAAAGGAGGACCTCTGGTCACCTTATGTAGATCAGATGCATACCTGGGTGGAGACTTTCTTAAAGGCTATACCATGCTTCTGTACCAAACATGTATGAACATATAAAAGCAACCATTACTTGGGATTGTTTCTCTTCTACAAAAGGAAAGAAGCCATTTGATTCTACTTTTAAAAAGCTAAAATTAAAAATTCCCATTATTCAGATATCTCCAGTACAAAGCATCCAGTAACTTACATGCAACTGCATATGAATCTCTTCAGGCATTTCTTCTCCATAAAGTTTTAGCAACTCAATAGTCTGCTTCAGTGGCTCAAACATACTGTCAGTTGCTACTTGCCTATCTTTGACCCGCATCAAGTGCCCCATCACTGCTACAAGACCATCGTAGTCACCTTCTTTCACTGGTTTACTTAAGCCTGCATTGACCTCTTTCATGAAAGCAGCAAGATCCTGAAGGCTGTAAAGAAAATAACAAGTTCAATTAGGATACCTCAATCTATTTCAATAATAAGGGAAACAGAAATACAGGAGTTTTATCCCAAAGGGTAGTTGTACTTGTGTGTTGCAGTAAAAGCAGCAGAAGAGTCTTCTGTTGCTTTGAATACACTAAGTTTTGTGGACTGTGACAGTTCTTTCCGGGACTTCCTGTGAGATGGATGACTCCCTTATCCACTTGGAGCAGGTAGAATTTCCAGAAGGTTCCTGGAGTCTTACTGGGGGCTGGACAGAGATATTTTTTTAAAAAGCCAACAGCTACTGAAAATAGTTTCATATAACAATTGTCCTATTCAGGAACCCAGATAAGGTCAGATCCTTCAGCTGTGGGATCTAATACTTCTTTCCATGGTTGTCAAGGTTCCCTCCTTTCTTATAAATACAAGAATTTGGAATCATCCAAAACTGTTAGGAAGTATTTCTTCACACAGTGAAAAGTGCCAAATCTTGTTATGTTACACTCTTATGCCTCCTGAGGGCTATCTGACTACAAGCAGAGATG